AGAAACAGACAACACATGAGACCTATAAAAAATAACATGGAAAATGTAAACACAACTATAGCAATAATACATTTAATATGAATGAATTAAACGATCCAATCAAAATACAGATATAGTCAGAATGGATGAAAAAAAGAGAGATCCAAATACATGCTCTTTAAGGGAGACCCATTTCAGACTGAAATATTCAAATAGCCAATAAAAGGATAGAAAAAGATATGTTATGCAAAAAGCATCGATAGGAAAGCTGGAGTAGCTCTAATAATGTCAGACAAATTAAACTTAGTAAAAACGTGTTACTAAAGTGTCTCTCTAAATGTAAGTGCAAGACTTCTTCACGTACATTCCATTGGAAAAGATGTCCTGCCCCTCCCCTAGCAGCAGTCTTTTCATCTGTCCTCTTTTGGCAGCAAAACATGTTTACCTACGAGGATTGGAGTGTTTGCTACCTCTCCCTCCTCAGAGGCAACAGGTTTTACTTTTATTCCTCCTAGAAACGATCGATCCTTGCCTGTTTCCTATGGGTGAGACAGATGATTGTCCCTGCCTTAGATGCTTAACACTTTTACTTCCTTAGGCAAAGAGTTAGGACAAGGGGACAGGGCCTGAATCCCCACAGCAGCTGGATACTTGCACACAGGCTGCCAATGAAGCTGTGTCTGGCTGTTCTCCTGCCTCGCTTCCCATCTTTTTGTGAGCACTTGGTGGAGGTCTGTGAAAAAGATCTTGAAAATCAGTATGAATTCTTCATGAGTCTGAGGCCCCCAACTTTTCAAAACTGATAAGCTACCCTACACATAGCATTTAAGAATTTTTTTCACAATTCAATATACATAAAGATCTCTCCGTTTATTTAAGAAATTTTTTTAAAACATATTTTTTATGTGGCCATTTCTTTCTCCTGTATCATGCCAAGGGCTAAATAGTTTCTTGTCACTCACTGGAAATCAGTTTACTTAGTAAACTTACAACTCCAGCTCTCTGATAGGTTCATGTAAATTATGATTTTATGGATTTTCCAACTTTTTCTCTTTACTAGAGTAGGGGTAAATTTCTTTGCAGCTTTCTGCTTTTGAAGAATTGTAAGAATATCCAGATTACTTTTGCAGTACATTGCTTTTGTTTTCATTATTATGTAGAGAATCTGCAAGTTTTGCATATGCCAATTTGATTTCTTCCTTAAAGTGCTGTTTGTGAATATTTGTTTAAATGAATATGTTTATTCATTTATTTACATATATATTACTTGTTAAGTGATTAACATTTTTTATTTCTCATTTTATTGTAATAAATTGAGGATGTTTTCTATACTATTTTTCCTTATTGGATTTGTGTTTATAATTACTAACAGTTATGAACAAAGTACAGAAACTGAATTAACAGCAAAACAAATTTAAAAGTAGCTGGATAAGCAGCTAATTATATGTATTAGTGATTATAAAAATATCAGGAAAGTGATTTTTAACATATGCACGTATATATATGCATATTTATATGAATTTACTTACTAATGCTTAGTGTTACATTATTCAGATTCTATATGTAATTATACATCTTTAATTTACTTGATCTAATAGAGTCTCCACAGTCAAGAATCCCTACTATCCTGGTTCTTCAATTTCTCATTATTTCTCTGTAATTTATTATACTCATATATTTGGAAGCTATAGTAGGTGTGAGATTCTGTAATCCAGAATAATTCTCCAAATTTATGTAATGATCTTATATTTTAGTACACTTTACATAAATCAATGCTGTGCTTCTAGATTTAATAGGCATTTTTAAATACTAGTAGAATATTTTTGAATGTTAAAACAATTCTCCAATATTCCCAGATATGTTTTTATTTTCATATATGTCTAAATTAAAACATTCATAAACACACAAAAAAACCCAGTAAGGTGCTGAATTGCTGGAAAATTTAAAACTGCATGGCATATGGCAGATTTGCACAGAAATATACAAAATAAAATGATGTTCTATTCCTATCAGCAATTAACTTTAAAAAGAATATAAAATTAACATGTTTTGTTAGTATCCTTAATTTAATCCATGTATTCACTTTTGCTCAATTTATAATGATGATTACCCTAAAAGACAATTAATGTTTCAAAATGATGTTTATTGATCTAAAGTGATTAATTATACTTTATTCACAAGATCAAAAGATGACTATTTTGCCATTCTTTGCCAATAACTGAAGAAGGGACAGAAACTAAATTAAGAACAAAACCACTTTAAAAGTAGCTGGGTAAGCAGAGGCAGGGTAGAGTAATTCAATGTTTAACTATTTTTAATAGCTCTATATTTCATGTATCTTCCTTGATAATCATGAGATTTTTCACTTAGACTTTGTAACTTTGAACAAGTTTATGGATCCAACTGTAAAGGAACACTGCACTTTTTTATGGAAATGCAAAAAGGATTTATACACATGAATAATGTGGACATTTTTCTGTTGAAATACCAATATATTCTTTCAACACTGAGGTAATTTTGATTCTTCCTTAAAAGTATCAAAATATGTATTTAGAGATAGTCTTTCAAAACATTTGCCAGGCATCAAGCAGGAAATTTTTGCTATTTTATAGCGTACTTCCTCAATTTTAACCATATTGTACCACATACAAAATTTTATTAGGAACTTGAACCTAAGCGCCAAAATATTGAGAATTTTATCACCACTAAAGTCTAGTATAAGAGAAAAAGTATTAAAACTTTTTAACTTCAACTGTAGCTATAAATTACTGTAAAAGAGCTGTGCAGCCCCCATTGAATACCACACAGACAGGTTCATTTTGCTGTTGAATATTACTAATAAGCTAAGTGCTTTTCCATTTAGTAACAGGACTATGTAACTTATTAAATGCAAACACACAAAAAAATTATGCTCAGATGGCTAATAGTCTTCTAGAAAGATGGGAAAATTTACCATGACTTAAGACAGCAAATAAGAATCTCTACAGCATGACTTTTGGAACATATTTCTGCCTATGAAGTTTCTCAGGAGAGGTAAATGATATTAGTCAGAATGTGGTTGGGAGGAAAGCGAAAATAGGCTTTTGATAGATTCTTCTTTTGTTCTCTTTACCCATTCATAAAGGAACATGCTAAATGGCAGACACAGGGACAAGTGTGTCTACCTTATGAGTTCTTACGGTTGTAACATTAGGTTGTACATTTTCATCTTATTTTATTGGTTTCACGAATAGAAATATTTTTCTTAAAATTTTTCTCACTTTAAAAATTTACATAATGTATGTTGTCAGATGTGATTAAACATATTGTTCCATGTTGTAAAATCTTAACTAGTGAGTGTAAAATCCAATTGAATTAATTTATTTCATACAAGAAAATACTGTGATGAACTTTCAAGTGGGAGTCTGAAAGGTGACAAGGTTCTAAATGGCATTTTTACAATACTTTACCTTTTCATAGAAATAATTAAACAGCAGGTAGAATGACTCCTGAAAATTGCATTGATTTGCTTTACATGATGACACTTCTCTAGAAATATGTCCATTTCTCTATATTTACATTTAATTTGTCTTTTATCTAAATCCTCATTCTCTCGCTCCGACCTGGTTCTCCTTCATAGCTCCCTTATTTCTACCAATGATATCATATTTGAGTCCTATCACTTTTGTCACTTTTATGGTCCATATTTATTAAGTTACCATTTCAGGTAAGGTTCCTCAACAAGTCTTATTTTTCAGTAAGTACTTTCAAATTAATTGTTACGTATTAGAAACTGTAAACTTAAATTTTTGCTATAGCCACCTGATACTATTTCCTCTAATTTCCCTTTTCTTCAGTTAAATTTTCATTCCATTTAAAAAATAAATTTTAAAATGCTGTTTTCACTATTATTTTTCTTTTTAAAAATTATTGTTGGGTCTCAATTGTCTGGATTAGGTCTAAATTCTTCGAATTGGTTTCAATCTTCTCATCCTCATAGCCACCTGATACTATTTCCTCTAATTTCCCTTTTCTTCAGTTAAATTTTCATTCCATTCAAAAAATAAATTTTAAAATGCTGTTTTCACTATTATTTTTCTTTTTAAAAATTATTTTTGGGTCTCAATTGTCTGGATTAGGTCTAAATTCTTCGAATTGGTTTCAATCTTCTCATCCTTCTTTCCAAAATCTGATCACAACCTTTTTTCTTGCCTTGTTGATATCACCTTGTTTTCATAAATCATTTATTTGATCAAAATTGAACTTTCAGTCAATTTTGCTAAATGACCTCCCACATCTTATTCCTATTCTTGATTTCACATCTTTCTTCATTTCATGCCTTTGAATATTATCACTTCACTTTTTTCTTCTGCTGTTAATAACCTACACTTTGATGTTACACCTTCTTTTTAAGGTAGATTATTCATCATTTTATCCTAGCTTTTCTTCACTTTCACTTTTTACACATACCTGCATTAATTATGAAATTATTATTTGTAACACACTTTAATCAGGATGTGCATAAAACAATGCTAATGCCCTGTGTACTGTTTTTTACTCCATCTTTTACTCTGTCTTTGACAGAAGAAATATATGTTTTAGAAATAATTGTGACATATATGTTGCATCTGTTTTTTGAGCTCGCAAAGGTCAGTATTTTAACTATCACAATGTTTTTAAACGGTGGCATCATATTTATGTGGTTAGTAGTATAGGATGTGGAAAAAGCATTTTCTTTTGAGTATACTTGTATTCCATTCTGATACTCATTCACTCATTCCTTTAATACACAAGAAGGGATTCTAGTAGACATCATAGAAAGAATATATGCCTTGTATTGAATAATGAATAGATATAGCAAAGTAGATTTGGTATAAAAAGGCGAACAAAATTTTCTTTCTTTGATTGATCTCACTTTACTTCCCCTCTACCTCCACCCCAATCCATCATTCAAAATAATGCAGAGCACCAGAATATGTTTGAATCATTGTAAGGAATAATAACTAAAAAAAGATATAGACATTAAATCATTGACTGAACTCTCAGGGGTTAAAATGTAAGAGGTTTATTCTCCTTTTATCAAGCAATGTCTACAGACAGAGCATCCACATGGTGTAAACTACCAAAGAAAGATGTGTGTGACAGACTTACATAAAATCATTAAGTCACAGACACTTTATATGATTCATGTTCACAAGGGAGAAAATTGCTAAAAAGTAAAGCAGATTCAATAAGAAGAAACATAAGCTGATTTTTGTTGTTTATTAAATCTACTTCCCATAATGTTTCCTTAAGCTAAGAAGAAATCTACTGTATCACACAGCTTATTATGGTATATACACATAAGATAGGACACACTATAAAATTTCAGGTTTCTAAGCAGTTTTACACAATTCAAACTTGAGCAAAATTTGTATTTAAAAAAGTCCTTATTGGATTACCTTCGGTAAATGGAGGTCATTTCAACAACCCATTAGCATTTTTAGCAACAATAAAAACTAAATTAAGTAAAAAAAATTCTCAGAACATGTAAACTATTACTTTAATCCTGAATAATTATCTGTTTATTTCAATAAACCAACTCTGGTTTTAATCTCCTTCTACTGGCTTTCTCTTTTGCCCTTTGGGGAAAAAAAAAAACAAAACGAAGCAGTAAATTTACTTCTCTGCAGTGTCTCAAATAAGAGGATTAGTTAGGTTTCAAACTACAGCACAGTTAGTGAGAAGGTCATTTTAGAATTATGTAGGAGTTGAATAGAAGAAGCCATTTAGAAAAATTGTTAGGAATAAAGTTCTTTGATGGATTACATTTAAATAGCAAAAGTGGTGGAGAAGTACATTTTTACTCACCATTGTGGGGCTATCTCCCATTTTTCAACTTCTATTACTTATTCTCCTAAGCCACTAATACTCATCAGTTCTGCCATTTTTTCTGCCTTGATGTTACTTTTCCTACATGCGATTTACTCTAAGCAGATGGAAGCAATGCTTCTCTTTAAGAACTGAAAGTTCCTGATGATGCAACACCGGGCTATGTGAAAAGACAGAATCTATTCTGCTGATAATAAACTAAACTTTTGTAAGCAGTTGACATACCAGACAGCCTTTCATTAAAAATATAATGTACTCTAGTGATTGAAAGCAAAATCAGTAGATAATACATTGCAAACACTTTTACCATAATTATTTTTTCCCTTCCTCCCCATTTTCTATAACATGCTGCAGATTATACAGTAAATGTCAAATAGAGTTTGTCACCTGTATAAAACCTAAGGCCAATTTATGCCTTCAAATGATATTTCACTGAGGGTTAAACAAACGACTGAAGGCAGGATTTGGTGCAAGAGTTGTTGAACATTTTTTAATAACGAGATTTATAGCTATGAAGGTTTCAGTATGCAGCTTTTAGCTTTCTTTTTCCTCCTTTGACATCCCCTTCAAGGCACAAAAGATTATCAACAGTGGATGGGACAGAATATTTTAAATTAAGAATTTTAAGTTTCCACACACATTTTATTTCTGATTTATGCATACTAAAAGGACAGAAAAAATAGATAAACTACCCTCAAAATTAAATGATGCTTAAGTCATTTGAAATTCCCTGCAGTTTAGTCATTTTAAGAATTTAAAACCTATTTTATTGATTTAAAGAATAATTATACATTTGATTCCTGTCATTGATGTAATTTCTCACTAATTATTGTGTTAAATATTTCTCATCAACCAGTAATTTCGATTGTGAATGTTTTTGTCAAAAACAATCTGTTTTATTTGGGCCAACCAAATACGTTATCTTTGACTAGGACATAAAGTTTGAAAGTTAAGTTGTAAATTTAAACAATGAATTAAGTGCAATGTACTGTAAAACTCTTCATTCGATAATTATATAATGGTGCTCCTAGGCATCTCCAACCCATACAACTGTATTTCCTTTCTCAACTTCAGTGATCTCACAGTTTAACTTATTGAGTCTTCCGTCGAGTATAAAGAGAGAGTCCTTGGAAGGTGTCATCAGGTATTGACCAAACAAGCCACTGTCCTGGATTTGCCTGTTCTTCTGGTTCCAGGGCCATTCTTCTGCCTTGAGTGGTTCTTTAAGGCTCTTTATCATCTTGACCTTCCCAGAGGAGAGCTCCACGAAGAGCACGTCGGTTTGTGTGCTTGAACTACCATAGATGTTGTATTGGTGGGCTTCAGTAAAGGATGGCTGGAATGCCAGATCGGATATGTGCAGATTTGTGTGAATGTCAAAAGCCTCCTCTATTTCTCCTCTGATAGTAATGTACTGAACCCTCACAAGTCCTTTCACATCGTTAATGCTGACTAGATAGTGGCCATCTGGTGAGACATACGGAGTGCCTGTCACATCGCTATTGAACCCGATGACTGAGTCAGTTACACCATCCACCATGAGCTGTGGTGGAATTGCTCCAGTGCTGTCAGGTTTGCAGCCAATAAAGTAGTATCCTCCCAAGTGTGTATATGCCAACGACTGAGGAATGCACTTATAGTCCTTCAAGTTAATTGTCTTGATATATGACATGGTTTCAAGATCAATTTTCTGTAGTGCAGCTTCATCTTTATGAAGAATAAATCCAAACCTGAAAAGATGAAAACCAAAATTAGACAGGAAACTATAGAATGGTTACCATAAGAAAGTGCATTATGGACAGATGGAAAGGTCCCTCACAAGCCCAGGCATTAACTGTCAGGCTATGCAGCAATATGTGTCATAATCATGTTAGAGTTAATCTTCAGATTGTGCTGCCTTCCTCCTTTCTCTGGGTCATTCTTTCATTACATCCAAATAATTTTAACTAATGCTGTAGAAAAGTGAAATAATTAAAAGCAATACATCTAGTTAATTGGAAGAACAAATTTGGCTTTCAACATACAGGGGAAAAAGTAAACATTGTTTTATATGTCCCTAAACCTTCTGATATTAAATTACCTTGGTTAACTGCTACTAAACCCAGCAAGCATAAAAGGCTTGACTATATATCTATTTCACTCTATTTACTTATTATATTGATTTTTGACCATTAAATAAATCTGACACTCATTACTATTTAGATAATTATCAACATTTTTCTCATTTTAATTTATATCAAAGGACTAACTTAATAGATGCAAATTTTATTTTATTTTTGGGAGATACAGAATTGTTAGACTTCAATTGCATGTTAGGATTACCTTGATTAACCTTTATGATTTCAACATTTATTATACATTTTAAATACAAGTTACATTTTTTAACTTTGACATGCTTATATTGTTATTGTTGTTAATTATATAACTGCATTGCATTGGTTACCTTACATTGAACAATGAAAAATTTTGAAGATTTGTAGAATTTTTATATTAAAGTCAATTTTAAAATTTGTTTTGTTTTTTTGCCTCTTTAATTAGTTCAGTGCTTTTGAAAGCATTTATCCTGAATATTGGCTGAAAATTATCAGAAACACCTGTGGCAACTATAAATATGTTTTGAAACTCTGAGCTATGAAACAAACAACTTTCTAGTAAAAAATAATTAAGTCAAATAAGAGACAATGAGATAGGAAATTATTAAGCAAAATTATATACAAGGTGGGCACTGACCAATAGAATTAATAGAAATAGATTTTTGTGTGTGTGTGTTAGTAATATTGATTAAAACACTCCCTAATAGTTCCAAAATCTCATAAAAATAAGAATCAGAGAAATATTGTTCCATTGACTGTGCTCATAAATAAAAATTAAGATTACTTTACTGTGAGTATTAAGGTAAAACAAAACAAAAACTCTAAAGATAACTAATTATGGTCTTGTCACCTGTGTAATTTATTTTCTGAACGCTAATTATCACACATAGTTCTATACATAAAAAAAAAATGACCATTTCAACATGTAATACAAAATAAAGTATATTCAGGGTAATATCCTCACAAAAACTCTAAAGATAACTAATTATGGTCTTGTCACCTGTGTAATTTATTTTCTGAATGCTAATTATCACACATAGTTCTATACATAAAAAAAAAAAATGACCATTTCAACATGTAATACAAAATAAAGTATATTCAGGGTAATATCCTCTTAACAGTTCAAATATAAGCATTTAGCAAGGTCAAAAACAGAAATAAACTCATATATGTAATATCGTAGAGAAAATAGGATAAATGTTCTCAAAAAAAATAGTCCTGTGTTGTAGTTGTAGAAGGCAGGGAGTGCCTAAGCAGAGATATTTTACAAAAATGACATAAAATTGTAACTGCTTCAATTTTTATTACATACATTTACGAAACTAAATTATAATTTTAGCTATATATGAACATTTGTAGAGAGACTACTTGTCGTTAGAGAGTACAAATTCTTCTTTATGAAGGAATAACTTTTAGGTATAGCTACTCCTTTAAGAGCTTTCTTAAATATTTATTGAGCAACTCTTAAAAAGGCACTGAGAATATATTGGAGATCAATATAATTCTCCCTACTTTTAATGAATCTAGAAATTTTTAGTGATAAAAAATTGAAAAACTGTTATTATTGCCTAATTATATTTAGGTATAGCTACTCCTTTAAGAGCTTTCTTAAATATTTATTGAGCAACTCCTAAAAAGGCACTGAGAATATATTGGAGATCAATATAATTCTCCCTACTTATAATGAATCTAGAAATTTTTAGTGATAAAAAATTGAAAAACTGTTATTATTGCCTAATTATAGCATTTTGTTGTACTATTACCTAATTTAGCAACTATTACTTTTTCCATGTACTTGAAATGGCACAAAGTAATACATTTGGAAATAATATTTCTAGTGTATCTCTGAATGACATCCACCATTTCTGGCTTATTTCCTGGCTCTTTTTCTTTTCTGTGTCCTTAATATATTTGTTTGTGTCTTTTCAGTAAACACATCTCATACCATACCTATGCAGGAGAAAATTTTGTTTCTGATTACGGTGGTATGAAGAAGCATTCATATTGTTAACATCAATCACTTCCAAATATTTGCATTAAAATATTAATGCCTGGTGCAGAAACATACCATAGAATTTTAGTTCTACCTGCATACCAAAGTATTAAAAAACAAAAAACAAAACCTTCAAACTGTCAACTTAGTCCCATATTTTTAGTGTCTCAGCATCAAAAATATCATAAAATTAGAAGTATCAGTATCGACTCTCAGGCTTGCCTTAACAAGTAATTAACTGTATATGCTAAAAAAAAGCTGTTTTTTCATTAATGACCAATCATCAAGGGTATATAGGTGTGTAGGTGTATTGATATTTTATTACGTAATTATAAATTATAAGGGAAGATATCTTTTTTGTTATGTTGTACATGAGCTCAGTGGAAAGGCATTCATAGGCTCATTTAATAAAAGCAATAAGCCAATCAAGTTTTGGCATTTGCGCTCTCCTCTTAACCTTGAATCATCGAGCCCTTTGGGCAATGAGTTTTGAATGCTAATGAGAAAAAATGAGACAAGCTCTTTCTTCTCCTGAACTATTTTAACTCTGATACTAAAGAATGTACTCAAGTTTTCTATTTTACAATCCAACCTTTTCTGAAGGTAATTAAAAACTTTTAAAAGTGGTCTGGTTAAAAATGCAGAACCTTCATGTGGGGTGGTGAAATAACATCTTTTACAGCATCCGTATTGTATGCTTCTTTAGGACTAGAGATCTAGCTACAGGAGCAGATGCATGAGAATGCCTTCAATTTTTCACCACTGATTTATTGGTTAGGAAGTGGTGTCTCTAATTCAAAATTTCCCACTAGTAAAGATTGATATTCAGAAGTCTCCCACTGTTCATTAGTCTCTGATTAATATTTACGCGGCTCTCAAATTTCATGCTTGCTTAGTATAATAAATCCTGCACAGTACTAAGCCTAACATAGTTGGTCTAATATTTGACAGAATGTGTATAAGAAGATGCAGACTGAGAAAGGAGAGTTAAAACTTAACTCCCCAAATCACTTCTTTTACTAGGAAATCAATGCCACTAGAAAAGCGTGGTCTCTCAGGATGGCATTGTGTAGGTTGTCAGATTTGTGAGAAGAGTTATAGTGACGTCTTTCCAAAATTATATTATTTTTCTAAGTGGCTAATAAATGTAGTTCATTATAAAGTTTATCAAAATGTTCTAGTTTAATTACTGCTTTTATTAATGCTATTTTAATTAATGCTCTAAGGTGAGGTCTTAAAATGATTCTTACACAGACACTTGTTTTGGATGAAGTAAGGGCTTTCATTTCAGGCTGACTTGATCAGTTTTGTGATCCAGTTTTCCAGTAAAATAGACCTTATGTAAATATGACCTACGTAAAGCCCTTGATGTCCACAACTTTTAATTTTCTCATCAGCAGGAAGAGGGTAAAAGTACTACCTTGCTTTGAGGATGAGAGTAAATGCATGTATATTACCAAGCATGCATTAGATTCTCAATAAGTAGAAATTATCAGTCCTTTATACCTTAAGTAGCATCATTTTTCCATTTTGAATCACATCAAATATTTCCCATGGAACAACATATTATAGCCCATGGATGAGAAAAACCAAAAACAAACATCAGTTTTTCTGTGCAGCTAGTATTCCCACAATGTTAAAAATAAACATACAGTGTTACCTAAGTGTGGCTGTATTTCTTCATTCGTGAACACTAGAGAGATCATGTTGACAATAGAAATTCATGTTTTAATGCTTGCTCTCACTCATGCCAACAGGTTCTGTGCCCAGGTCACACCTTACCCAATAGCTAACTCTCTCACATTGTTAAGAATAGAGACAGTCTAGCTCATTCCACCTTCTTTTGAGGTGCTGCTTCAGTACTTGTTGAGGACATGGAGCAGTTGGCCATTATATACTGGGTGAACCTGAGCTCTGCATAGGTGATGGAATTTGAGATAGATAACTGGCTTACTCAAGAATTTATGCAAAAAGTCACAGAGAATTTTGTGGCTGACTTTAACTTGAATATCTAAGGATATGGAGAGTTGCAGTCAGTATTCATGGCATGGCCATTCAGGAGCCTTGCAAAGAAAGCTATTTGGCAGAGAGAGGGAGAGAACAAATATTTAGAAAGAAGCATGATTGAAGCACCATGTAAATAAAGAGTGAATGCTTGAAGATATCCACGTCCCATGAGTCTAAGGCTGTATTTCTTGCAATTGAATAATTAATGGTTTCACCACGTCCTTCACTCAGATGGTGCCTGAATGTGTCTGGTCACACATATGGCACTGAATAAATCTAATGATTGCAATAAATGCCTCATATAAATTTGCCATGGTCAGTGCCAAAAGCAATGTTCTCATATGATCCCATACACCCTAAAGCATGGAGTGAAAGAACTCTGTAAGATTTGCAGAATAACAATTATTTTATCTCCTGAGCCTTATTGTAGCATTGCCTGTCCGCAGAGTACCCAGAGCTTCTCTTGTAAACAGGCATCCTTACTGCTGACTTCTAATATTTAACCACTGTGGTTCGATCGCCATCCAAGAAGGGATCAGATGCTTCCTTTCCATTCCTACAGGATCTTCTTCCTCAAACCGCATAATCTACACCTCCCCAGATTTTAAGACAAGTCTTTCTCTACTTATCAGTGGAT